ATTTTTCGCAAATAAGCAGATTCGTCTCCCCTTTACGCTTATTGCATTACGACGCGCAGGGCGCACTCCAGAAAATTACCTGACGTACTCCAAAATGATCCGCGCGTGCTATTTCGCAGTAGATTTCCAGTTCCAGCGGCGAAGCCTGTTTTGATGGCTAACCTGTATCGCGGTTCATTATCGCTCCTGGCGAACATGTTTCATCGGATTGCTGCGCCGAAGGGGAAAATGTTATTTGGGTATCAAAGTTGCGCCAGTAGAGAGATGGTAAGCGAGAGTAGAGAACTCGAGAATGACCTGCATTGTGAAGCGCTCAGGTTTATAAGTGTAGCGCGGCGTCGTCGTCGGTACATAAAACCAGCCAACGTGTAAGGGAATTCCGAGAACGATGATCGGGTGTTAGGTGCTGCTACGTCGAGACCCCGACCACGAAGGGGTTGCAACGTGGCCGTTTTAGAGGACCGCTGACCGCTGCATCAAAGACCGGGCGCATTTATGGCGCGCCGCCACATCGTAGTTTGCGTGCCCGCGTGATGGTGAGCGTAATGTGTGTATAAGGGACTTTGTAATTATTGAGTTTAATCGAAGGTTCCGTCGATTTTTCAGCGCGCCCCGATTATCCGAATTGGTTATCGAAAACCCATTAGTACGCTCGCGATGAGGCGGCCGTTTTTATCACTCCTTTTTTTTCCTACCAAGAGGATCCAAATGCACCGCTCATAAATTCAGTAATAATTCTTCGATGTATCAATGCGCGAGCTTTTAGTATTCTCACAAACGAGCTCGAGCTCTACTGAATAAAATACCGATTCGCAAACGCGCATCATCTTATTCCTTGCGTCTCTCCACATGCAAGAAATCTGTTGGTATTCCATCCTTTTTTAATATTCCAGTGTAATGTATATATTTTTATATTCTTCTACTTTTATTCATATCACTACACATTACGCGAATACTCATTGAGCTTTACACGTACGCCGTGTGAATTTATATGATTTTTCGCGGTACGTAAACGCGCTGATTCCGGTTCGCCGTTATAATATTATATATAGTTTGCCACGTAGTTCGGATTATAAAGTATGTAATCCATTTATGTGTGGTCCATCTCGCGTATGCACACATTTTTATATGTTATCCACCGTGCGCGCTGCGCGTAAGGAATACCGCTCGCGGTATTCGCAGCGAATTTCAACGCGCGGCTACATTCTAATTTACGTTTAACAGGCTATTAAAGTTTATATACATTCGGTAGGAATCTGGGATGAAGTTGAATCGTAATACGAATGCTATGGGGGCGTATTTGGAAGGGTGATCACTGAACCCAGCATCAAAGAGCTATACTGGGGCGTTTATACCGGATTGCTCGCCGCGCGGCTGTATTTGCGCTTTGTGCAAGATATTCACCGTTTGCGAATGCGTGCGCATGCATGGCTACGCATCCCCACAGATTTTTGACAGGCGCCAAAAATTTTTTTTCTGTTTTTCGTGGCAATTGTTTCGTCAACATTGCCGTTACAGCCGGATGTATACGACCCTTCTGGAAAAAAAAAAAAAATACCGAGCGGTGTCAGTAGCGCAAAACTAACGCGAGGATGTCCCTATTTGAAGGATCTACGCTTAACGACATACTCGAAATACTGCAGATCGAAGTTCGTTATCGTTTAGATTGCTGGATCAAAGAGCTTTTATTTACAATTTTCTATACATAGAAGCGACGTTACATTCTCTGTTGTACGTAATATTCACTTGTGTTCACGGTTTTATCCGCTATGTAATATTCTGTCTGTCTTATTTTTGTGTCCAATTTTTAATATAGCGTTTGGAAAATATGTTTGTCCGCATAAGTGATATAGCGATATCCTCGAGGGAGTAACCACTAGCTAAAATATTGTCCCACAGATTACATGATTTCATCTGATTAGAAATAATTTTTTTCACTACTATGAAGTAAATTGGTAAAATATATGATTTTATTTAATGTTATACAATGATTTCTCGTGGTTGCATATGTAATTATCGGATTATACATAGAGATTTTATATAAATTTTATAATGATTTCGAGGATTCTGTCCCACGATTACATTAAGTGGTTACCCCCTCGGATATCCTCACAGTTAATCGAAATTCTGTCAAAGTGCACTGAGAGTAGAAAGGATTGTGTTAATTTAACAAGCCATCAGTACCTTTAACAAGTAAATATGTGACAACAAATTTTGTTTGTTATGATTGCTGCTGTACCAACCCTAATTATTAATAACAGAAGCAAACTATATAAAATCTAACCTATCTTTTACTTTAGGCTCGTTTACATAGAAATCGTAGATGATCGTGGAGTCTTAAGTCGTAGGAAACTGACCAAGCATAGTCAAATATACGGAGAATACTTGACTATAGTCTTCTGTAGAATTGGTTAATTTCTTACGATTTGAGACCCTGCAATCGTTTACGACTTATATATATATATATAAAAGCCTCTTATTATTGTTAGCAATACTATTGATTATTCGTTACATTGACGAATTAATTTGCATTCGTTACAAATCGATCGTTGTTTAAAACAAATATCACATTTGTTTTCCCTTTTGTTTCTATAACCACATCATTTCTCTCAGTGTGGAAATACCAAAAGCTGGTCTTACTCTTTCGAGAAAAATAACAAATTTATAATTTATCAAAAGTAATAATAATACTTTTGATAAAATGTGGTAATATTAAATATTTCTCTGTTGTATAAATTAATAACCGAATTTTTTTGCATAACGCGCGGCATTACAACGTAATCTCTTCTCTCCCCTGCGATTTCAACGCGAAAGAATTATTCGGGGCAATTTTACTCGGATCAAAATTCGGTGCTTCCGTTTCTGACAACGTTCAATAATCTCCCATGCATATTTCACCGCACGCACCGTCGAGCCTCTAAACGAACTGTAGCATATGACAGAATACGCGTGCGTGTTTAAAGCGGATTTGTCTCGGGTACGATGAAACATACAATATGTGCGGTATGGACTGTGTCGTCGGAGATCTCGAGTTTTCATATTTTCGGTATGCCGTTATTGGATGATTATTATGCTATGTGATTATCGATAATGAACGTTCATACATTATAGATATTGCCAATTTCTGTCTTTCTCTCTGTCTCTCGCTTCGACTTGTACTACGTCGTCTAATAATGGGTATTATTTCTCCTCTCGGATCTCGCATTGTTATGTTTTATCTCCTAATATAATCAAAGTATCAAATCACAATAAGAAAAGTGCATTACAGTGCTTTGGTATAATAAAACGCGTGCCTGTATGTAAATCGCCGCGGGTCGTCTGTCATAATCCTATCGAATCGTCAGATCTACGTAGGACGACGCGGTGAGATCGCGATTTGTGAGCACACACAAATGAAAATTACACGGCGGATCGAATTATATAACTTGGCGCAAGCACGAGGAATCCTCTTTATAAGCCGCCTCCGCGAACTCATTTCCGCGACTACAACGCGCTGAATCACGGATATGGCGAATGATGCGAAAAGTTTCCTACCTGCCTCTCAAGAAGCATCCGGGAATTGTTTTTCTTCCATCAAGTATCTCTGCTCGAATTTTCCGTCTTTCCCTTAAGTTCCGCGAGTAAAAGTTGAAATTACGAAACAGGGGTTACATCTCGGGTATGAGGGGTGTAAGATTCACAGGAGAAATTCCGCATCTATCGCGAATCACGACAGTAACGTTGGTATTCGCAATCAGCGAATAACTTATTACAATCTCGCGTGTTCAATACAATGCGATTTATTACATTAAATTTATCATATTAAACACAAAACCATTCCGTGAATATCAACATTTTCGATGTTTGAATTCCAACTAAAGCAACGTATGTCGCTGCAACGTGTGCATGAATTCCCCATTGAGATTCGCAAGATTCCTCGTGAAATAACGCGGCTAATAGCCGACTCAGTGCGATCATCGCGTCGAGACCGTGGCAGATATCAAACTGCCGGAATTGCTGCTCCACGGTGTATTGATATTCAACGGGTGTCTGCCTGATAAAGCGTTGAGTGGAATATTCAATCAAGCCTGGTGGCGAGAGGGTGAGCGGGGACAGCTGGAGGAAGGGGGTGCATCTTGCCGACCAGATGCTGCGACGACTAAGGTAGACGGTGACGGTAAAAGGTGAAGAGGATCACGAAGAACCGTGGATGGCGAGCGTGTTGATCGACGCTGCTTGCGCATTCCTGGCGAGGACTAAGGAATAACGTCGCTAAAGCGAAGGTAAACGATTCCTCGGCGTCAACGAGTTCACGAAGAGGATCTTTGGCTGGAAAAGTAATTCGATATACAAGCGGCGCGTGCTCCGTTCTGATCGCATGGATTCTTTAGATTTTTTTCCGGGACATTATACGGCGCGAAGTTGCGACGAATCGAATGGCCCGAGAGATTAAACATATGTTTAAAGTAAAGTGTATTTCGTTTGGAAGGACGAGAGAAATTCTCTCGACGCTTTTCTGCCCGACGTACTTTAGCTCTTAATACGGGCCTACCACGCGTCAATCTCTCAGTAGAGAGGATTTATGTTATATATATATCTTCTACTATTATGTAACGGTAACAGTGTGTTATTGTTAAGCGATTATACACTTGCTCTACATTAAAGTATCGATACAAATGTAACAAGTTGCGTAACTGCTTTGAGATTGCTCTTATGATTTCAAAACTTACGTGATATTCTGCAGTTTTATATCCTCTATAAATTCTTTGGAATGAAATCTTATTTTAAAAAGTGAAAATTGAGCCAATCTTGAAAAAGAATGACTCAATTTTTAATCTTTAAGAATAAGATTTCACTGTTTAGAGTGAAATTCATTCCAAAAGTTTTAGAGAATTAATTTTTATAATTATTATTCAATTATATCCTTTGAATCATTTTGGAAGATATTAATTTTTTCGTTTTATATAAACTTTTTGGTTTAAAAAAATATATAAATATACCGCTTATGTAGAATTACGAACCTGGACGCCTCGAGTGAATTCGTTATTGCAATAAATATGGACGGCGGAGAATTCCCTGACTTTGTCGAACTCGAACTTGATCTCGACCGGTTGGCCGCGACTATCATTTCTCCAGCCCACCCAGCCCTGGGCGCGATCGTTATCGTAGTACATTTTGAAATTATCAGGCCCCGTTCTGCCATCCGTCAGTTGACCCAGGCCACGGCGCAACTCGCCGTCCCAGTGCCCGTCGTAGGTCGCGTCGAAGAATTCCCATCCATTGCTTCTTTTATCGCCTTGGGGCATCGAGTAGGACACCACACCGTCTGTGGGACGAAAAGTCAAGATACGATTGTTGACCCTGCTATCGACGATACTGTCTTCAATTTGTTCGAAAGCAAATCATACGACTTTCTATTTTTTTATGACAGATATACAATTAATTATTATATAATACATGTATAATATATTAATAATTATTAGCATATATTAACATAAATAAATGTAAATTTTATAATAGTAACGTCTAGCAACATAAAATATAAACTAAACTTATTAAATTTAAAAAAAAACGTGAATTTTGTACAAAGTGTAACGAGTTTGCCTATAAAATTAACTATTTATTAAATGTACCAATAATGTTCAAAATCATAATTTAATGTTAATCTAAATAAATTATATATGATATATTTCTGCGTATTGTATTAAGTACTGAGAGTATATATAAAAAATCAAAGATTAATACTTTTCCATTTATATAATTTCATTTAGACACTTTCATATTTTAAACTCACTTTGATCATTTAAGCTACTTATGGAACAAACTATTCGTACAAGCGCATTTGAGCGTTATAGAGAATGATCTTATAGTTTAACACGCGTACTAATGATTCACTGTATTTCCGGCATTGAAAGCACCCATTCGAAGCCCGTAACTAATTCGATTCCCAGGCGAAAACGGAATTATACAAGCAAGATTTTGAAAAGCAAATTTGCTCTGGGCACGCCGATATCAGGGTTAATGGACAGTCCGTGGGTGTACCGGTCCGCAGCAAGTTTCACGAAAATTGGCGAGTGCAAACAGCTTACCGCTCCAGTAACACCCGTAGAGCTCGACCCGCATGCAAACCGTCCGCCTGTGATAGCTGTAGGGTAGAAAACGGATCTTGCTCGCCCACAGAGGCGGCTCCAGCTCGTGCTTGGACTCCAAATACGTGTTCGTGTTACCCTGTATTACCTGAAAGCACAGAAAGCGTCAGTTCAAGTATAGGACAATTTCAGTTTTCGGTCCGGCACGGCGTTTGAGCTTTACCAGACCGCTCGACGTGAGTCTCATTAGCTCTCTTTCCGCAATGGCGTTACATTAACTTCAGACAGTCGGATATTTGAGCACGTGCGCCATTTCCCGTTCTACCGCGCTTTTTGTACCATTATATCGGACGATGCCGATGTACGAGTGGATGCAAAACAGCGGACTTTTACATGTACCAACAGTTTGCGAGATAAGAATTTTTAATATACCATACATTTTCGAGCTGTAACTTCAGCGTGGTATCTTATGCATACGTAAAAGGAAAAAAGTCTACGCGTTATTGATAAGTTATCTTGGAATGACCAAATTGCCGTCGTAAATTTCGTTATATTAATGAATTTATGACATCCTTTGCAATTCCACGTACAACGTCCTCACGTGTATCGATCAGAATAATCAGATAATCTGGCAGGTCGGAAAAAAGCATCGCAGACGCGTTACTTTATGTTCCGATTGGAACGTCGCGATTGTCTGGCAGTAGCCGATGACATTTATATCGTCTGGACAATGTCTGTGTTTCAGCTGCGCGAAATGCAGCTCTCCTCTCCTTCCCTAGACTTGGATATGTCACAGAATGGACATTGCGTTCCATGGTATCAGACGGGGGCTAAGGACTAATTTCACTCTACATTCCACCACATTAGGTCCGACAGAGGCCGTACGGAGAGGAAGGCAGAGAAAGAGAGAGAGAGAGATACGCAGACAGAGAAGCCAACACGGATGGGCAAATCGAGAAGGGACGAAGGGTTCGCGACGGGCGCAGGCAGTAAACGGAGGGTGAGAGAGGGTTGAGTTAAACGTCCGCCGTCCGCATTCCCTGATCTCCGTCGAGGCAGCGAACGTGTTGCCGTCGTTGACGACGTCTCTCTCTCCTCGAGCGTGCTGGGGCGATGGTGCAATATTGATTCCACGTTGTGGGTTTATGAATAAAATAAGCGGTTTATCCGACGGCGGTGTGTAGGGTGGTATACGGTGTACAGAGGGTGCGGGGCGTGCGGGCGAGTGGCATGGTCCCACGGGATCACGCGAAGTGGCGTTGCCCATGGTGAGTAGATAGCCAGGTACGCTTATATATAGGTACGTGAAGTGTGCACACATATACACGTATATGCTAGGTTAGATGGTATATATTATACAGAGTGTTTCGGAAGATGTGCGTTTTCTCTCCTATAATTATCTATAAATTCTTCTAGACGGTTCGAAGGCAATGTCCCTTCGGCGCGGATCTCACGGCACTGTTAATTACCGAGTCATTGGGCATTGAGAATTGAATAGCCGAAGTGTAAATAGATAACAAGAAGTGATTATAAATCGGGTGTACTTAAACAGAATCTTAATTAAAAGTTTAATGAATGAGATGTTTAATGATAAAAATTGAAACGTTACCATAATGGCAATCTAGTCAATTTTTCGTTACAAAACTAGTTCAAATTTATTGAAGTCTTTAGTTAGAAAAAATATACAATTCTTAATACATGTGTACACATATATAAACATGCTTTTTCTTAAAGTAGGCATACATAACATATATATGTTAATAGTTAAATCTATATAAACATATGAATGGACGTTTTCATCATGTGGCAATGAGTTCACAACACAATCGCGCGACAGAATGTTTTGCGGTAGACAATGCATTCCGCGCACGTCTTGTGGTTGAACATACGTTCCATGCCTTTAGCCACCTTCTACCACTTTTCGGTGCACCCATGCGCTGACCTTTACTACTACACTACCGTCGACGTGCTTGCCGCGCGGGACTCTATGTCAAGATGCCCTAACGTGGTCCTTTGGGATGTCCTTACGGGCTCAGTACCGCTATATATATTCGCAGGATAAACAGCTGACCTATTTTCACCCTGTTCGTATATCGATTTAGACGTTATTTCCTATTTCGACTCAGCTGTTCTCAACACGCAATTACTACTTTCAAATGACGCTTCTATGGCTTCACAATTTTTGGAAAACACTATTCGCCTCGCTTGAATCGCTGCCGTATAACCAACCCAACTTGCTTTCGGCACACATATAGCGGAGTTCAATTACCGAGACGTAAAAGCGTTTCTTGGGTTTTCACTGGCAACCCTTGCTTCTATTCGTTAGATCTGCTCTACCGGTCCCTTCTTCCAGAAACAGATACTTCGAAAGTAGTCCCTAAGGTGCGCCCTTACCTCCTTACCAACGGATAGCTTACTGCACCCTGGGTGAAAAACTCTCCGTGTCCGGGGGTCGATTCTTTCTCATTTTATGGCAACCAGGGACCTATTTCAGCTGCGCGTTATGTTGCTACCGGTTTTCACAGCAGGGTAGTATCAAGATCTTGCACCCTTGATAGTTAACTATCTATCTATGTGTTCACAAGAAATAATATTTAAAGGTGGAATAATATTTGAAGATGTTTATTTTTGCAACAATTTGATAATACTAACTTGATAACCATTAGATACATAACAGTTAAAACAATAATCAAATTAAAATTCATATTTATTATTCATATTATATGCCGTTAATATTTTTGTTATATGTATATGAAAAGCTAAACTGATTAATAAGAAATATGATGAAATATAGTTCGGATGTTGTCAAAATATCTCATATGTTTGGTAATATTACCAATCATGAAATTAACTGGATTGCAGTAAACTTGATTATAATGTGTTGTGTAATATTAATACATATATAATGTCTGTCATTCTCGTTTTATATCGTACTATTAATTTGCATTAGATTGTTGATTCATGAGCGTAATTACCATTTTCACGAGCTATTAATCATCTAATCATCATATGTAAATCGTCGAATTAAATGCGCTTCACCCTGGCGTCATTACACAAATGCACAATGATTCACGAGATGTGTACATGAGACATTATGCGTCATAATATTTATGTGTATTATTTAAAGAGCCGTTTGCGAAATAATTATTACTTTGTATTATCCCAATTGTGAAAAAAAATTTCGAAAGGTTAGAAAAGATTATTTACCATTATGAGATATTATTACAGATATTTACGTGCTTTTTCAACATTATTTCCTATTTCTTTTATTTTCACCCTTCGTGCCTACACGTACTTTACTGTGTGCCCATAAAGGTCAAATGTTAAACAACGATTATAGGTATTATCGTATCGTGTAATAGCTTAGGGAATATTAGGGAATGTTAGATGTTTTTGTCCTCGCACGAGAATGTGCATATTTAATATTTACGTTGTATTGTCATATACCGAGAATCACAATCATTCGTAAATTTTGTGGCCATGTTTCTAAAAATTAAATATTTTTATCTTATGAAATATTCTGAAACAGAAAGTTGATAATATCGTAGTAAACTATGATAAACCCTCGATAAAATACATCGGAATTGTTGGTATAAAATAGATGAGAGAACTTGCAGTTAAACGGAATGTAAAATATTTTTGTTTGTCAGAATTAAGGAACATCGACGGAACAGAAAATGAAAAAAACGGCAAGCCATTTTGCAAACGAATGACAACCGGATGACGTGACCGAGCACGAGATGGGACATCTGTCGGCTCTTATACGTCTATCGCGTTGCACCGGTGTTACAAAATTATGCAGCTGGCACTTTCTCGAGACAGAAACAAGTGCACGGCGATGGAAAGGGGCGTGCACAATGTAAAAGAGTCAAGAAGATGCAGCAGCCCGATGGAACTTTATCGTGACGGCTTCTTCAAATCGTAATGGCTGCACGCGCAGTTTACGGCGGAAGTGTATCTCGTAAATATGCATCTCCGATGACGTCACGATCGAAGTGCATTTCAAGGATGCTAGATGTGGTTATAAACTTTCTAAATTCAGATGCCATTTGGGAAGTGAGTCGCTTTCCCGAGACTTTATCGCGATCGTAACGTAAAAGTTGGCCGTTTCAATTTTTCCACGCATTCGTAAATATAAATATGTTTAGAAAGCTATTTAAAAATGGTAAGAAAGCATTCCAAATGTTCAAAAAATAATCAACCAGGAGAGGAAATTCAATTTTATGCGTTAATCCTGTAACGAAAATGTTCTTCATTTATATGAAACTTCTCCAATTTTTAGTATACTAGACAAATAATATTCCCTCTTCTACATAATATATGCATCTAATGTTGATAAATATTATTCTGTTTATTTTTTATACTTCTCTATAAAACTTTCTACAGTTTATTTCATTGAATGTTTGCTCTGCGACCTAAAGAATTCAATTTTGAATGCTTTAGGTGGAACCGAAAGAGGTTGACGAAAAAATTTGGTGAGCCAAGCGAACTATGCTCTTCCTTCTCGTGTGCGATTTTGAAGTGTTCATAACTTATGCCCATGTTCGTTTTTTGCCTGTCGAAGCGCCGTATAAAACGAATTTATTGCGTCGGCGCATGCATGTCGTGGCGGTGGCTGCCTCCGCGAATATTTTCGTGCACTTCTCTTGAATGACGCTATTGGAATTTCGTTCGTCGATGGGCCGATATTTTTAGGACGTCCTACCTATTACCGATTATGGTTCTACTACTTCGCTTCCATCGAGTTTTCATCCGTAAATAATATTCGTTTTTTTTTTAATATGTTGCTTGAACAATGTATAACTTGATTCGATCCTCTCAAATTAAAAGAAAAATTTGTTGTTAAAACGGAGAAAAGACGTTCTTTCGCGTTTACATTCTCTATCGTAAATTTTTTATCTTTTGCGTCTTAAAATTTTTACTTTTGTAGGAAATAATAAAGGAAATACATAATAATATATGAAAACTGCGAATAAGTTTCTTACATTATCTATAATATAATTTAATCATATATGATATTCTTATAAAAAATAACTTATATCGAAACTTTATCTTTTATCAAAAATGCATAGTAAAAGAACATTTCGTATTTGTGTTAGAAATAATACTCAAATTTTTGTTAAAATTTTGTGTTGAATTGTTAACACA